GACAGAGCTGTTAACTCATCTTTCATACCAATCCTGTGCTATGTAAGGTTTTTTGTTTGGTTGGTTTTAAAGTCACAGCACAGCAAGTCTATAACTGTGATATTCTTGGGATCTGATGTAGAAAGTATTTGGAGTATTATCCAGAGGATATTGAAAACAAATGTGAGCAAGCTTTCATACACAACAGCTTACTTTGTGTAAAATACCCCGTTATTGATGTTAGAGGTAATGTACATGTGTATGTACTTTACAAATACTTTTGCAAAAGCATTGCTCTTGAGAAGCAAATCCATATATCAAAGGAAAATAGAAACGTTGTGATAAAAGTTACCCTAGAAATTTCATGGCGAAAGTGAAATAAGTTTCTCTCAGAGAAACATCATTTGAAATAAAGATTCACGAAGCCACTGACCAACATAACCAACTTCATTTGCATTTGATTTTTCTTAGCATCCTCAAAAATCTTAAGAGTGGAGAAAGAAAGATGAATATACTCCTGCAGCTATTGTTGCCACTCTTGACATGCGTAGGTTTCCACATAATGCTACATAACAGACACCTATGAGATCTGGAGATACAATTTTCCTCAAAAAGGAGTAACTGGAGGAAAACAAAAGAAAAAAATTCAACACTGAATCAAACTGTCACACACCAATAACTAAATTTGATCTTGATCAGGTGCATCCATTCACCAGACAATTCCGAGAGATTCAAGCTTACAAAGCAGCTACAACCACCTTCCAGTCTGCTAATGCATAATTTTGCACTTTTCCAAAACAACTTCTACTTCTCTACTGCGAAAAATTAACTTTTGTTTCCCAGCTTTTTCTGTGATACCCAAAACAGTCTCCAGCCCTTACTCAGAGGATCAAGCATGGTTCCATTTTGTGCTCCCACCTGTAAAAGCTGACATTTATAGAGAGAATTACCCCGTTTCATTCTGACAGGGACATGCCCTTTTTCACGTTCTTTAGGACCTTTCACCACAGGGGAATGCGTCACTGGTAGGCAGTAGTCCAAAATCAGTTACATTCCTCAAAAACAAAACACAGAGCTAATTTAAGTAGGTCTCCAGCGATCAAAAGGCTGAGTTCAGGAAGTCAAGAAGAAGGAGGCAAATGGACTTGTAGCAGCCTAAGTCTGAAGGATGACTACAGACTGTTATCTGATCATCCCATCACACCCCCTTTCTGGGCTACCCTACTGAAACTTCATTCTACTGCAAATTAAGTTTGAACACATACAGCAAGGCTCCATTTCAGAAATTTTGTGGTAATAACATTTCAAATAAAGATGAAACCAGACAACTACAAAAAAACCACAACAATTAAACAGGAGTTACATCTCTTATTTAATTCAATTGTAATTCAGCTTTCTGCTGAGTTCCTATTTATGCAAATTTATATCCTTCCCATTTATGACGATCTTACAGATCTAAATTACACAGAAAATGTCATGTAATATTAAATTACACAGCTATTTTGCACAGAGCTGTGTAGCTTCGAACAGTTTTACTAGTCTCTAAAGTGTCTGAGAGATTTTAATTCTTGAAATATCAAGTGGCTAGCTATTTGTTTACGGAAAGTTACAGTCCCTGCAACATAACTGAACGGAATATAGTCAGTGGGGTCCACGTACTTGTTTCGCAGATGTAAGAAAGATACCACTCTTCACCAGCCAGAAGGATCATTTTGTTTTGAAGACTTTTTGTGGGGGGTAGGGGTGGGGCGTGTTTTAAGGAAATAACCACAGAAACTGCAGGAAATACAGCTGCAAAAAATACTTTTATTACTATGAGTAGGCACATGGGATCTTCAAACATATTGGAAGGGTCAAAAGAAGCAGAAATTGAATTCAATTTGCTGATAATAACTGGTATTTAGATCACGTTCAATGGTATTAATTGAGGACTACGCTATCATGACTGAGATACATATCAGTGGAAGAAAAGGCAGCATCCTTAGAATTAAATGGTGTGCACACCTTAGTCAAGTCGCTAAAGAAAGGTTGGAGAATAGAAAGGAACAAAGCAGAGAAAAAAAACTTTTTGCAATTTTATGATTTATGATTTATGATTTTAGTCTCTCCCCCACTGTGGCTATCACACCTCAAGCTATTTTTAAAGTTTTAAAATACACATGTATTTAAGAAGATAAAACAGTTTTTAATACATTGCATTTCTGAAATTTTTGTAGATTTGAAATCCCTCTACGTTTCCTTCTTTGCAACTGTGGAATCTATGCACAGGGTACTCAAGGAACATGTCCACCTAATCACACAGGCAACAAATTCTTTGTGGACTATCTCAAAGATGAGCATTGGAACTGCTTTAAAAAAAAAAAATTATCTGCAGGAAGGAATAACAGACATGAAAATTTTAGTATTAACCTGAACCAGAAGTCAAATCTACACATCCATTGAACAGTGAAGGAATGTCATCTAATTGAAGTTGTTACTATAAGAAGTGAGGGAAGAAAATGCTGTGACAAATTCCCTATCACATTATGAAACAAACTGGTGAAGACAGGAGCTGGTTCTTCCTGCGGGAGTTAGCTGTTACAGTGCAAAAAATGCTTCTGCCTTCTACGTTTCACAAGTTTTTTGGTTAAACTTGCAGCACCAAAACATATAACCAAATGAGTACTCAAAATGATCTTCTGTACTTTGCAAATGGAAATGGAATAAAGGCAATTTTACTCTGTAAACATGCAAAAATTAAACTATAACATAAGGATTTCTTAAACAGCAACTGTGTATGCCTACATGTATACAAATGTAAATGCTGTGGTGCTGAAGACAGGTGTACTGAGAAGCTAATCAAAACAGTTTGCTGATCTGCAGCAATCCACTGTGAATGTAGCTATAGTTTACGATGACGATAGCATTACAGCTATAATGCACAGATTTTGAATGTAATGCAAATTTATTCCACCAACCTTCAGCTCTTTCCTTGTTCCTCATCTCTTCTGTGCTATTTAAAGTGTTTCGGTGCTTTTGCACTGTCACTTCGCTACCTTTTCTATTAAAATCATAACCTTTTCTGTTAAAATTCTTAGTCTATAATCTGCTGGTATACAATTAAAACTGTATACGATTATACCTACAAATCTTATTTCCAAATATAGATCATGATTCCCTCCGCCCGCCCTTACAGCATTGCTGGTGTTTATTTTCTGACACTAGCCCTTGTTATGAGAGTAATTTTGAGCTGGATTAACAATTTAATGCTATACTATTGTTAGGTGGTGTGACATTTGAACCCCTTTAAGAAGATAATCAACTTTTATTTTTTTGTCTTGGTGTTGGCAAAGGCTCTTATATCACCACAATTTTTTTTTCAATATTTTGCATTCAGACGCTGTCCGTTAGGCTCTACTGTAATCACATGAAGATGACTTGAGGTAGGGCTGACAAACGCATTTAGCAACTACGTAGCAGTTGAACTGATGCATGCCATAGTGCATCAACCCCTGAAGTCTACCTCTGTTTCTGGGTTCTGATGAAAAATTGTGGAAGACACAGAAACACTACATGCATTTCAAGCATTACTTCAAGGTACGTCACAAACCAAAAGAACATGAAATAAGCATAACTGTCCATGCTGCTTTGCTGCATGGACAGAACATTAAAACTCATTTTAAGAACCAACGAGCAGTGCTATAAAGTAAACAACAGCAATTAAGATAAAAATCAAAATCTCTTAAACATTAACACTGACTCAAAATTACACCTACAAGATACTGGATATAACATTTGGGAGTAATCAATCAACAGATAATTTAAATAGGTTATACATTTACTGGATAAGCATACTTCCAGCTAGCCAAACACTACTTTTATCACTGAAAGCAGTAACAAGGAAACAGCATGGTCATAGATCGTAATCATGTGTATTTACTGTATTATATGTGATGCTCAAGATCTTTCTGGTATAAGAATGATGAAAGTCCTTGGGATTTTCTGTGAATGTGAGCGAGACTAGACAAAGGGCTCAAGTAAATGCACAAATTTATGGTCTATTTCCTTTGCCTTCTGTGAGAGTTATGAAAATCTAGCCCTTCTTCTATAGTTATACACCTATGGTGGCATTTATTTAACTTGTCTAAAAGTTAGGAGCCTCATCAGAGCCAGTTAACAACATGAATTGTTTAGTCAGAGATCAGTGTTTTCAGAGAGTGACTCACCCTGTTCTGTGCTAGCTCTTCAACATGACACCAGACGAATTGCTACAGATTACAGAGGAAGCCTATAAAAGCAACTTAAAATAGATACCTAACTTTTGAATTGCAAGGTTTCCTCTCATACTTCAGTACTCCAAAACTGATATTTTTTGACCTACACTTGTCCCTCCATATGAATGCTTAAAACCCTTTCATGTACACTCTCTTCCTTTAATATAAGTAGAGTTTAAAGGGTATACAGGAAGAGATAAGCCTTACAAAGTGATATGAACATACTTGACTGCTCCTTCCGTTGGCTAAATACTTAGAACTAGAGAGATAAATTGTGGGCCGCTTCTTTTAGAGGAATAAAAATTCTGTTTCTAAATCTGCCATTATTTTTTCTAGTGTTTATTTGTGCAACAACAATTGCAAATGTACCCTGTTAGATCAAATCCTAGCTATCCTGCCCCCTCTTACAAATTGCATTTTGCATATTTATCTGGAGATATCTATAATCATATATGATCATATTTCATCTATAAATTGAAATTAAGTGTACAAAATCTAACAAATATTAAGTAATCATAATTGCATGGAAGCATAGGAGTAGTGAGAACACACAAAAATGTCTACATTTCTACAGTGATATGATACCTCTTCTGACTATTTTTCTATTTTCCTATCTCTATATCAATAATAATTAACCATACAATTCCTTCATTGCTTTTAAGTCAATGCCTCAGAGGCAACTCACTTATTTTTTTAATCTTCAAATAACATCAAAGCAAGTGGCTGTTACCAAAGAGTGAAAAAAAAAAAAAAAGATGATGTACTTACTTGCCACCTCCAGCGATGCATTATGACTTACAGCTTCCCCAAGGTAATTCCTTGCCACACAGACGTAGACCCCTTCATCTGGCCTACTCTTGCGCCCGTGGACTATGCGTAAGAAAAATAAAGATCCGCTGGGCAGCAGCATGCGGTGGATGGTGGGGGTTGATCTTCCTTCTGCTTTACAGTTTAAAGTTGCCGGTTCTCCTTTGGAAACAATTAGATCAGAAGGGTGTTCGACAATTCGAGGCGGGAAATCTTCCTGCCGAAGACGGGAGCCTGCAAGATAAAAACACAAAGTCTTCTTAGGAGATTGTTGCCAGGTACAGTCGCTGTGTTGTGCAATACAACTACTTAACCATTACCCTGTATTACAGGATTTAATAAGAACAGCTATTAACATCTCTTTAAAGCGGAGGAAAAAAAAACCCCTTAATGCACTTCATTGTGTGCAAGGTTCTCCCAAGTGAATCCATTCAAAAGCATTTTTTCAACAGGCGGCCTACATTACTGAATTAAACTGCCATGTTCCTAAATCGCATCCATTTTTATATTGATCTATTCATGTACATAAATTTATACATACATGCACGCGTATATGTAGAACTATGAAAAAACTAATCCTACCGATATTCTACAGACATCAGACCATCTCTACCAGCAAAACTGGTACTGCTCTAATTCATAACGCAAAGTCATAGTCAACCTCATTTGACCTTTTGGAAAGCCCATTAATTCATGCAGTGTCTGCAGAGTAAGTCTAACATCTCCAGCACGCACAAAGTTGCTTTATTTTACTTGTACTATCAGCTCTTTACAGTCGCTTGTTAAGCAGCACCATACAGGTGCTGCTTGGAGTGCCTGAGTGCTTCTTACACATCTTGTGTCAAGGAAAACTAGAGCAACTTTTTACATTATAAAATTTTTCACTGTCTCCAATCTAGAAGTCTGATACAACATGAGACAACAGTACCAGGGATAAAAGAAAAGTTACAAGCAAACAAGATATTCTTCTAGAAAAGCATTCAATTTCAAACTAATTCAAACTGCAAGCTGATAACTGGCATGAAAAAAACTATAATAGTCCAGATAGACATATACCACAGAAGAATATGGCAAACAACTGGGTGCCCAAGAATTAGGAATAAGCAGCTAGCAAAACTTTCAGGGATTTAAACTGTTGACTCCATTTCATATTACTATTCCCCTTATTTCTCTTTCTTGATATACGCCTTTGCCATGGATAAAATTAGTCTCTTGGGTCACTAATTCCTGATTATTAAAATTCTCGATGCCAAGATTCTTTATTAACATTAATAACATGTTTTTTGAACAACTGTGAAGCGCCAGAAAGAAATACAAGATCTATTCACTGCAGATTAATAGACCATAAATCGGTATGGAAAAAGGGAAGGAGACAAGGAGACGAGAGTCCCAAAGAAAGCTCTATTTTCAATATGTACTATATGTGTGTGTATGACTGTAATATATATATTTTACATATACATAAAATAAAAATATTCTAAAATGTAGAACTTTCATGTGAAGTTTATTTCACATTTCCTTCACCTCAAGATAATTGATTCAAATTAAATGTTACACTAATCAGCTAGTGCTAACTGCACATTCCCAAATCTCTGGTCGTATGGCTTCACTACATTGAAATATGTTTGCATTCTGTGTGCAGTAAAAGAAGATAGTTTTATATGAACATTACTGATCATTAAATACAAGATAACTCACAGTAATAAACCTACACTTTAGTCCTTTGAGGAAAGATAATAGAAGTACCATTGTATTTAGGACTATATTCCTAAGAAGTATTTGATCATTTATCTGTTTTTCCTGATTTCTGTTCAGATATTCATAACATTGCAAGATTTTGTAGTACTTAAAGCAAGCAAGTAATTATATTTTACATTTACTTTTACCTACAACAACTGCCTGAGACATGAAAACTAAAGCATGGGCAGGCAGAATGGAAGCCAGGAAACTCCCACATCCTTTTGCCGGCTACACACCACTGTGCAGCCCAGCCCCGCGCATCACTATAAAGCGAGATTTTGAGCTGCACCTCCTAGAGGTAGGGCACAGGCCAAATCTAGTGAGAAGAGAGCTAAAAGTAGAAGAGAAGAAAATTGTGCCAACCAGCACTGGTCTTTCGCAGTAGCTAAAAAGCCTCCAATATACTTCTGTTTGCCCCGAGAGCACATCTCAGTCATTGCAAACTGCATTTCTGTCTACTCATCCTGAACTTTCACACAGCTTTTGTGAAAAGCCCCTCATGCAATAATGCTGCCCTCACAACTGGGGTGACCAATTTTAGATCTCTCTTTCCAAGGTAAAAATGCCTAGACAGGGATAAAAATCTTATTTTGGTGATACTTCTACTCACTTATTATGTACTTCACAAGGAAAGGCATAGAAACAAAGGATTAGAGAACTAAAATCAATTGTTTTAAGTCACTCTGAAAATATAAAAATCCAAGTTCAATGTAAAATGTTTCAAGATAGTTAAGAATTGTTTTAAAAAACAAAGTTTGCACATATGCTAGTATGCATTACATTTGTATTTTCACAGATTATGCTAGTCAACCAGCACACAATATAGTACAAGCCTCCTATTGTTTCTGTCAGCCTGGCCCAGACCACAAATAAATGAAATACCATTTTCAAATATATTGCATGCACGCTTTCCATACTGACATTCAAGTCACTGTACACTAACTTCAGGTACTGTACAGAATGAAAGTTTAAAGGCTGACCTCTAAACTTTCTTGAAAACTGAGACTCAAAACTCTTAGGGGGGAGGAAAGTCCTCAGGGAACTCCAGGAATGCTCATATACTTTTAAAATTTATTTGCTGGGTAACATTAGAGGAGTTAAAACGACAGAAATGTCCATTAAAATTTCTTTTTTTTTTTTTTTTATCCTAGCATTTTATAAAGTAACATTTCTCTAGAAAATTTCATGAAATTGCTTGAAGCAGAAAGGCACAAAAGTTGCACGAGTAGTTGACTGGCACATAGTGAGCATTAACACAGATTTAGTGACAACTGCCTGAGGGATATAAAGGCCCTGACAACCAAGTTATAATCTTTCTACATATCTACACTTTTTTTTTTTCCAAATCTTTCTTTCCTTTTAGCCTAGTTATTTAAGCTGCATTTACGTTTTACTGAGAAGAAGCAGCTTCAATTATCAACATAAATCTTACAGTGGGCACCAATCCTGTAATTTTCTTGTCAAAAATCCTTCCCAAGGGGATATTTGGTAAGAAAAAAAAAAAAATAGAAGCAGAACACCTATTACATGCTGGATCTGCCATTAAATATACAACAGAGCTGCTTTTTCTTTCCCCCAAAGATGACAGCACTGGGTTATGGGAACTAACCAACTTGTGTTCCCTGCTTTTATTATAATTCAAGTCTTTCATAAAAAGTCAACAGGATGCCACCAATTAAAGTATGCCATACTAATTATTTCATGCTGCTACTTAAAAGAACAATTACACGAAATCATGTTTCCAGTTTCTTGGACTGTGCCACAACTATTTTTACAAGAATTCAAACACTGAAATAAACAGATGTGAAGGTTCAAAGAAAGTTAGCATTACATGAATGCTAAACTCATACAGGCAAGATTTGCCATTATTCCCGCCTTAAAACCTCCTGTTGGTAGCATATACAAATATAATGTATTGAAAAATAGCAGGGAATGTGTTTAAACGGGAAAGCTGCTGATATCAGGGGTACAAACGCTGTGCTGTTCTCCTTTAGGGGGAAAACAAAAAAGTTATGTGCTACTGGAACAAAGTGCCTCAAATTTGAACCATGCAGCCTAAGACAGTTAAAAATCAAGACCATACCTACAGTCGATCTAAACTTCAGCTCAGATAGATATGGAAAACCTGATTTCCCAAGATCTATATATCTAAGTAATAATTTATCCTATATCTTATAAAAATGCTGCATGACAGACTGTGTCTTTAGCCAAGTGCCAAAAAGCCAGTATACTCTTGGCCCCATTTCTTTTCCATTTCACAAGTACAGCATTTAACACTGATTTTCAGAGCCAAAAACTCAGCTCTTTTATTGAAACACTTTAAAATGTAACATAAGACCTGAGTGACTGGCCTAATTACTATCAAAGTTATTAGTAAAATGTTAACAAAAAAAATCACAGGTTTAAAATCAGTGTTAGGTGACTCTTCAAACAATTATACTTCACCAGAACATAAAAATGTTCCTAATTCCCCAGCATTTCTACTACATATAACTTAAACTCTTCCAGAAACTTTTCAGAAAGTAGGGGGGGGGGGATTTTTTTGTGGTTCTGTTTTTTTTGACCGGAAAGATGTTCCATAACTCTCTTGCTCTAGTGGTTAGAAATCTTTCTCTAATCCTCAGGTTAAACATATCCCTGAGTAGTAAATACTTCATTCTTCCTGCGCTTGAGCTGCCCTTTAATTCAGGTCTCTCCACACACTTCTTGGAATTTTATCCCTTTGACATGCAGATTGCAACCTTTTCCTTTATTACCACCCCCTTGCATTCTGTGTTCTTGTTGCTGTTCAAAATCAACAAACTCATCTCATCTGGTTTCCCCCCCTAAGGTTTGCTCACCTTTTCCTCATCTTAAATTCTAGTTTGAATTCACCCTTTTTGAACATCGAAGACCCAAACCATGCACAGTGAAGAGGCAAGCAGGCTTTGAATACTATTTCAAGCACACACTGCAAAGCAATATCACATCATGTTACAGGGGAAAAATAACTAAAGGAAAAATCAAAGTATTTTTCTGAAAGTGGCTTTTCTGCCCAAAAACATGCAGCTAACCTAACCTATTGGGTTTACCTGTTCTCACAGACAACAAATGATTTTCAAGGAAAAAATATTCTTAAAATATTTTTAAATATTCTTACTCTTTGTATACTACCCTTGTTCAGCCTAAATAAAAGATCTGATTTCTTGAGCTTTGTAGCCTGCAAGAATAGTGCATATTAAAAAGCAACTATTTTTAAGTTTCCTTTACAGGTATTGCAGTCTTCCCTCTGTAACCCCAGATATGAAGTAATTAATGAAGGCAGTAACGCTGTGCCTTTGGATTTTCCCAAAACAACTGTGTAAGAACAGAAATTTCACTTTTGAATGCTACTGTGGCACAAAGCACAAGAGCCGAAACTGCACTTAACTGACATTTCTGAAGCACTGATTTGAGAATAGCATTGGTCATTGTATCACTTTGGACTGAGAAAGCAGTTCTTTGCACAGTTTCAT